AATATGAGGCATTCAAACTTAGTTTTGATTATTTTTATTAGGAGAAAAGGGACCATGGTACTTGCCAGATAGTAATCTAGTTGTCCTGACACTTCTTGTCAGGAGGCCTGTGTTTAATCAATCTGCATAGTTTTAAGGATTCAGAGATGAATTTGGGATGAAAGTTAATAAGCCAAAATTTTATTCTGGCTCTTCAATCTGTGTTAACATTTCATTCTCTTCCTGAATCTGATTAATGTTCTTCTGCTTTAAATCGCAGTGTTCCAAGTATTTCTGCTTAGAGTCATCAAGCTTCGGAATTGCATTAACATCCTTCAGAGTCTTTTTATAGTTACAAATACCTGCCAGAAGACTTTCCAGAGGTGTCTGTAGTTAGGCTTTTTAAATGCACTGTACAGCAGATGGCACTGGAAGAGCACATCTGTGGGAGACTTCATTGGTGCCATAACTCTTATAAAATGCTAGTGAAGCTGTTGCAGTGCTAAGAGTTGTGATGAAATTCAGCAGCTCATTTTAATGTATTCCAGGAAGGAATGCATGCTGAGCTCTTCTGTTTCAGCTCTTATAGATGCAGACAATGAAAAATTTTATACTTGCAAGTACATGAGTGTATCTTATATTGAGGACTGTTTATAAAGTGTGTTTAAACACATTATGTAATGCAGAATCACTGTGTTTTTTTGTTGTCACTTCTTAAAGTATATGCAAAGGAGAGCATCTGGATTGATTGGATTATTTGACTTCACAGAATTTCTGCTTTTTCCTGTCTTAAATAAAAAAATATGTAAGAGATGTCGCAATGTACAGTGATTCCCATTTATATAAGACTTACTTAGAGGCTTGCTCTCACCTGTAGGTGTGTTCCGTTTGCTTCAGAGAACTTTAACCAGGACGGTCATTCACTATATTTTATGGTCTTTTCCTGGATGAATGGGCTGGACTTCTGTGTATATGCATATTATATCTGGTTTATATTTGACCCACAAGTTCTTATTATTCTTTATATGAAATGAAACACTACTTGTAACAAGCATTTAGATGGTCAGACATTTTGCTTTATTAAAAATACTGGCTGGTAAGGTAGGCTGACAGATACAGAACACTTTCTTCTCAAGCATACTCAGTAGTCACTCTCAAACTGCAACATTTACATTTCTGCATATATGCTGCTATAGAGATTTATCTGTTGAGTTTATTTTTGGATACTGGATACATTTGTAAGAACACATTTAGATACAGATAGACTAGTATGTGATAAAAACGCGTTCTTTCAAATGATTCATATTTTTGTCTAGTTATGGCTAAACCTAAAGAAATAGGTTCTTTTAGCCAATTTTTTAAACAGTTCTAAATCTCCAGAACCACTCCAATCAAAAAAATTGGTGAATTGGACAGCCATGTTCCCTCTCTAGTCAGCAATGTGATTGTTCTTTTATTTTCCCCTTGCTTAGAAGGCAGATTTGACTTTGTTTTTTACTTGCTTTTTCAGGGTTAGGAATTGCAAACAGTTTGATATATTTCCCACAAGGATGTGGGAGTGAGCGTATTTCATAAAATGGAAATAATTTCAATTTGTGGATGTCAGTCAGAAACAGTTTGAGAACAACGTGGATTTTAAAAGTGGGGTTAATGTGAGGCTTCCAAGACTTCTGATGTTGCATACACAAGGGCACTTCATCAAATGAAGACATCTGTGACTTAACTCCATCAGTTTAGGAACTGAATAAAATCCCAAAGTTATATTTTTTTTTTTACTCATATAACTAAATGAATGTATAAAATAAGATGAAAAGAGTACTGTAAATTGCAAAGATGCCAAAATCCAAGTGGTTTAGGAATAGAAGGTCAACAAGGCATTTCAAGTTTGCTTTTAATTGACATGTAACTCTATCTGCATATGTAGCTTTTTGTTAATTACTGTATGTTTATTAGTTCTGATACCCCAGCTTTCAGGCATACAAAAAATCTGAAATGTTCGGTGTATTTGTGGTGTTTTGACCCTGCTGGACAGCTGAACTCCTTCATACCGCTCTCTCACTCCCAAGGAGCAGGAGGAGAAAATGTGGTGGAAAAAAATCAAGGGCGGAGATAAGGAGAGGGAGATTGCTCACCAGTTACTGTCTTGAGCAAAACAGACTCAGCATAGGGAGTTCAGTGTAACTTATTGCCTACCACTAGCAGACTAGAGCAGTACGAAATCAAAATCCAACTAAAATCTTTTCTCCCCTCATCCACCCTCTTCTATCTCCTCCTCCTGAGCTGTGCAAGGAAATGGGGAATGGGGGCTGTGGTAGTCCCTAATGCTTTGTCTCAGCTGCACCTTCATGGTCACTTTTCTGCCCTTGCTCCAGCATGGGTCTCCAACACAGGGTCCATCCCCCAGGAGCAAACTGCTCCAGCACGGGTCCCCCATGGGCAGCAGCTCCCCCTCCAGACCCCCTGCTCCTGCGGGGGCTCCTCTCCACGGGCTGTAGCTCCGGCCCGGGGCCTGCTCCTGCGGGGGCTCTCCATGGGCCTCAGCCTCCTCCAGGCCACATCCACCTGCTCCACCAGGGGCTCCTCCACCCACGGGGGGGCTGCAGCGTGGAGATCTGCTCCATGGGGGACCCATGGGCTGCTGGGGGACAGCCTGCTCCACCAGGGGCCGCAGGGGAACTGCTGCTGCCTGCCTGGAGCACCTCCTGCCCTCCTACTACAATGACCTTGGGGTCTGCAGGGCTGCTTCTCACGCCTCACTCTACCAGCTGCTGCTGTCCAGCAGTTTTTTTTTTTTCCCATCCTTAAATCTGCTCTCTAGGAGGCCCAACCAGTGTTTCTCACAGGCTCAGCTGTGGCCAAGCAGCAGGTCCCTTTGGAGCTGACTGAAACTGTCAGCCCTTTTCTAATTTCTAACATGGGGCAGCTGCTGGATTCTTCTCACAGGGGCCACCCCTGCAGCCCGCTGCTACCAAAGCCTTGCCACTTAAACCCAATAAAGTATTCTACTCATGTTTGTTTTTCAGTACTTTCATAATTTCTAGTTCTTCCAAACATACGAAGCTCATATTAAACAGGTATTTTAAAACATGAAATTTCATGGTTCTGCATGTATCCATCTTAAGAAAATGAAAATTAGTGTCCTGCTCTCTGGAAATACGTATTCATATCACTATATTCCCTTTGAATTTTGTAACGGAAATGTTTTTTAAGGTATCAGGACTCCTCATAACCTAAGAGTTTTGTTACAATGTTGAAAATAAGTAGTATTGAACTTCTAATAAAGTACTGGTCTTTTTTTTTTTTTGTTTGTTTTTAATTTAAGATTCTATTGCTTTATAGCAAGGATTGATTCTTAGTTCCTTGTTTGTTTGTTTCCTAAACAAGCTTTTGTGATTTTTTTTTCTGGTGGCATGTAAATTAGTTTACAGGCAAAAAGGAAAACGTTTAGTACTCCCCATTGAAAGAAAGTAAAGGAGATGTAGTGCCGTTTAGCTTGGTAATCAAAAAGGAAGTGGGACGAACTGCAGATATTCCAAAGATGGACTAGGGGAATGTCAGAGGTTATGGCTGAGACGGAACAGGTTTCCGAAGCACAGTTGGTGGAGAGGACAAGGATACAAATCCACGTTAATCAAGCTTTTGTATTTCTGCAGTTTATGAGAACAGTGGTCAGCACCCTAGCAGCAGGCCTTTACTTTTTTTTTTTTTTTTCCCAAGGTGTTTTGAAGTTCAGAATCCTTAGATTCCCTTCATTGTCTTTGTTTAGTTTTGGATATGATCCTTTAGCCTTTGTGTTCTTAAGGTCCACAGAAGTTGGGCTGGATCAGAATAGTAATCAGTGGACTGCTGCTTGAGTGTACTAATCATTTCCCTTACATTTTTTAACACAGTTTTTGAACAGTTACTTGAGAAAAAACACGTTCAGTTGATTAAAAATGTTTCTGTTCATTTTACTGTGTTCCTGTGTTGTGTGTATTGTGATATCATGAGAGAAGTGGGAAGTGCACATCTCTTGCTCTATCCCCCAGAGTGCAAATACCTTTTTTTCTTTTTTTTTTTTTTTCTTGGTCTCTTCCAGCTTGCCATGCGTTGCCCAGAGGCAGGCTTACTGTTGCAGTTTGTTTTGTTTGTAAAGGTATTTCTGCCATGGAAGTAGAGAATAACTTCCCGCTCTCTTCTCTTTCCCTTGTTGTTCTTCTGTTGTTCTTCCCTTCTCTGTGCAGAGCTGCTTGCTTTGATAGGTCTGAGCAACACCAAAGAAAAACAAGCTGAAAAATCAAGTTCGGGGGGGGACAGAGGGGTACATGACTCTAGAAGATGCCAGGTTGTCTGGGATTTGTCCACGTAACCTTAGCAGAAGTACTAGAGAAAGAAAAACAGCGGTAGTATAACTAGGCAAGGGAAGCCAGTGATGTGGCGTCCTTCATGTCTAAAACAAAATTTGGAAATAATTTTTCTTTCATAGAGGTTTAGGAGGGGACTTCCATTGTTTGCTCTAAATAGATGTTATTTTGCTGTTTATTTCCCTCAGTTTTCTTTGACTAGAGTTAATTTTTTTATAATTATGTATGATAATCGCTCAGCTGTCCTGTGTAAAGAATGTATGACCATGGCTGATCACAGTTTTACCTGAATGTAGAAAACATGTTGGGTAGAGTATCTTAGTTTTATGTTTTCTAGTTATTTTTGTGGGGGCTTTTTTAGATGCCTTCTGAAAAAGAGGGGTGTTTCTTTGCTCGGAAATTTTGGATACGTGCATTAAATATATGTGCATGTGACGTGTGTGTATTAAAAATAGTATAGTAAAAGCTGAATAAATTGTGTAGATCAAGGCTCTAGTAGCACATTCACTTTTTAAGCCTCATTGATTTCCAAGTCAGCTCTCTATATTTACTTTTATTCGATGCTCATTACTTAAGTACTTCAGTTTTTGTTTTGTTTGGAGGAAAAAGAAAACACCCTTATGGGTAATTTTTCAAATATTTCTTTTGTGAAGTTAATTGTATTTTATTTGCTTCCAGGAAATGGCTCTTGAAGTTAAATGAGGCTGGATAAAACACGTAAATGAAGCAGAAGCTGCTCTGCATGTGTTAGGGCTATATCACCACGAGCACTGCTGATCAGCCAGACTTGGTAACTTGTCATAATGAAGAAAATTAGTCTCAAAACAATTCGCAAGTCCTTTAACTTAAATAAAAGTAAAGATGAAAGTGACTTTGTAGTGGTTCAGCAGCCATCGTTAAGTGAATTTGGAAAAGATGACTCCTTGTTTGGCAGCTGCTATGGTAAAGATTTGGCTAGCTGTGAAGTCAATAGTGAAGATGAAAAAGGAGGCAAAAATAGATCAAAAAGTGAAAGCTTAATGGGTACGTTAAAAAGGAGGCTTTCAGCAAAACAAAAGCAGAAAGGCAAAGGCAGCACACCATCTGTAAGCTCTGCAGATGATGACACCTTTTCTTCCTCATCTGCTCCAATAACCTTCAAAGATGTGCGAGCTCAAAGACCTCTGAGATCCACTTCCCTCCGTAATCACCATTACAGTCCAACTCCGTGGCCCCTTCGACCTACAAATTCAGAAGAGACTTGCATCAAAATGGAAGTCAAAGTCAAGGCTTTGGTCCATTCTTCTAATCCAAGCCCAGCACTGAATGGCGTTCGAAAGGACTTCCATGACTTGCAGTCAGATAACGTGTTCCAGGAACAAAACAATGCATTAAAAAATACGGAATCTCAGAATGGGGACTTGCATCTTCATATTGATGAACATGTGCCTGTAGTTATTGGATTAATGCCTCAGGACTACATTCAGTATACTGTGCCTTTAGATGAGGGAATGTATCCTTTGGAAGGATCACGTAGTTACTGTCTGGATAGTTCCTCACCCATGGAAGTTTCAACTGTTTCTTCTCAGGTGGGGGGAAACTCTTTCCATGAAGAAGAGAGTCAAGTGGATCAGGATGTAGTCGTTGCACCAGACATCTTTGTGGACCAGGCGGTGAATGGTTTGTTGATTGGTACCACAGGAGTCATGTTGCAAAGCCCAAGAGTTAATCACAGCGATGTCCCTCCACTCTCACCTTTGCTACCTCCAATGCAGAATAATCAAATCCAAAGGAACTTTAATGGATTGAATGGCACAGATGCCCATGTGGCTGAAAGTATGCGCTGCCATTTGAATTTTGATCCTAACACTGCCCCTGGAGTTGGAAGAGTTTATGATTCTGTACAGAACAGTGGCCCTATGGTTGTGACAAGTCTAACGGAAGAACTGAAAAAACTTGCAAAACAAGGGTGGTACTGGGGCCCCATTACGCGTTGGGAGGCAGAGGGAAAATTAGCTAATGTGCCTGATGGCTCGTTTCTTGTTCGAGATAGTTCTGATGATCGTTACCTTTTAAGTTTGAGTTTTCGTTCACATGGAAAAACACTTCACACTAGAATTGAACATTCAAACGGTAGGTTTAGCTTTTATGAACAACCAGATGTGGAGGGGCATACATCTATAGTTGATCTAATTGAACATTCAATCAGGGACTCTGAAAATGGAGCTTTCTGCTATTCGAGATCCCGATTGCCTGGATCTGCAACTTATCCAGTGAGACTAACAAATCCAGTATCTCGGTTTATGCAGGTGCGTTCTTTACAATACCTGTGTCGTTTTGTAATACGTCAGTACACCAGAATAGACCTGATTCAGAAACTGCCTTTGCCAAACAAAATGAAGGATTATTTACAGGAAAAGCACTACTGAAAGCTTATGGGAATCTTGCATCTTGCACTTTGGGAACAACAACAACAAAAAGAGATTGAATTACAGTTTACAGACTTTCATTATTATCAAAATCTTTTGCTGCCATAACAATTTCATTTTTTGTGTGTTAAAGAAAATTAATGCATTTGGATTTATGTTTGTTTTTGGGTTTTTGTGTATTTTGGGGGGCTTTTTTTTTTTTTTTGAAAAGAATGATCTCAAGTTTATTTTTAGAAGTGTGAAATAGCTATCTTTCATCAATGTGCAGATTAATCACAATGTGAATGATCAAATTCTCCTTAATTTCCCCCAAGTCCTTTGCTGCTATCCACTGTGATTTTTATGCATTGAAAGCACATTTCATGTGTATTCAACCATAAGTAAAAGTCAAATGAAACTTGTTGAATGGATTTTTTTTTCTTTAAAATAACCAGTTTGAAAAAGATGATCATGGATAAAAACATATAGGTATTCTAAACTAAAGAATTTACATCTATGCTAACAATGATTTCCTAGTATCCTAATTATAAATTTCTATAGAGATATGCCCTAATGTAGAATTTAAAGAGTTGTGGGATAAGAACATGGTTATGCAGCATATCTTTCAAAACAAACAAAGAAACCACAAAACCAACAAAAATAACTACAACAACAAAAGTAAAACAAAAACACCTTTCTCTTAAGCCTTGTATTGTCTGTACACTACTTTGTGTTTGAGAAGGTTGGTTCAGCTTTCTTATTGTCTCAGTATTTTGTCTTTCTAAAAATGGCCTTTAAAAGAGAAGTCTGTGAGAGTCAGTGCTTTGCACCTGTAAGAAAATTGCAGTATCATTGCAACTACAGGATCAAATAAAATATTACCATGCCATCAGTTAAATAAATGAACACCTGCCAGGTACTCTCTTTGTCATTTTCCTTCCTGCCTCCCCTTGAGAAGAAGAAGAAAAAGAAGGGAAAATTGAAAATAAATAAAAAGGGGGGAACAAAAACAAAACAAAAAAGCCTGAATTTGTAGGAAGACTCTAGGAATTATTATTATGGAAATACAAATTACTAAGCCATTTCAGGGATTGGGGAAAACTTCTAATAGGAGGATTTCTACAATTTATTCAAAATACTTGGGATTTCAGTATTTTCAATTTTTCTGCATTTTTCACTTCTGAAATGCAGCAATACACTAATGTCCTTTGGATCATTTATTCCTTTTTGGATCTTCTTTGGGGAGGAAGGAATAGGACTAATGATATTTTGGATGGAAGATGCTTAAAATGAATCTCCAATTCTCATAGTCTCTGAAATTATGGGGAAGAGAGGTTTGGATTGACTGTAGAAAGTGTTTCAGTTAACTGTTGTGAAATACGTTTTGACATATGAAATATTGAAACAAGTAAATGTTTATGGTATCTGTCAAAGATTTTGGCATTTGAAAAGCTTACAGTTATTCTGACCTTCAGGAAAAAAAAAAAAAAAAAGACTTTTATTTGGGAGTACAGGTAATATTTTCTTCATGCAAGGTTAATCCATGTCATTTTTTTTCCCCTCTCCATGATTCTGTCCCTTTTATGATTTACTAGTCGTTACTACCTTGCTAACTGGCATGGGAGGAAGGCTTACTCTGCCTTCTTCTGCCCCTGGATTTGTGTTTTAGAATGTCATCTTCCAAATCTGTGGTAGGAGCTTCTAGTTAGTAAACGTCAGTATAGAAAGGGCTGTTGATACAGCTTTCTTATTTAGGTCATTTTATTCTCTTTGTTTTTTATTTTCTAGCCTTTTGTCCCCTAAGTGAGTGTTAGTAACGAATACAGTATTGCTGCAAGGTGGTGCAATAGCACTACATCTTGGGTTGCCTGAATTGATAGACAAAATTTATATTTTTTTAATTTATTTTTTGACCATAATGTTTAGCAAAAAATAAAAAAAAAATCAAAGGTAGATAAAGGCTGCCTTTGCTTTTAAGGGAGGGAGAATAAGGATTTCTTTAGTCTGATAAAGTTTTAAACTTAAAAGAAAAAAAAAGTAGAACTGTCTATATATGTAATTTGTTGGCTCTGCCATTGAGATACATGTATGCAAGTGTGAATTCTGTTTTCTTTTTTCCCCTCTATTGACTCCACCCTCCCCGCCCCCCCCCCCGCCCCGGTGAATCAGAATCACTAACTTTATTCAAAAAAGGCACAATAATCTATAGTATGGTACAGTGTTCTGATTCAGTCTGTGGGGAGGAAAATTAGAATCATTTTTATAGATTTCAGACTCATACTTGGAAGAAAACCTCTGGCATTTTCTTCACTTTAAAAATTCTTTCCCTGTACAAGCTGGAGGGCCTATGCATTCTACAGAATCTTTGAAAGATTACAGTATATTAAATATTTTCTTTGCTATTTAATACCATTATTGAATGCATTAAACTTATACTATGCCACTTGCATTAATTTAATTTAGCAGTTACTGTATTGAAACAGAAATATTTGAAGGTATAATATCCCAGTTTTATTGCTGAATTGAAAAACATGTAAGAACACATGCTAAATTTCTTGCCCATGCCTTTACAAATTTGTTTGTTCACTCATTACACGTTATTGCTTTTTGAAACTGTAGTTCAGCTATCTAGTTCTTGAATTGCCTTCCTTGCTGTGTTCTTCATTTGTGAACTTAATCAGGTCAACTTAGCATTGTCATCTCCCCCACCGCCCCCAGTAAAGCTTCCACAAAAGGAACACTTTAAAGTAGTGGAGGCCTAGGATGTGAGAACCATATAGCACTTTGATAAAAAATGGTGGTGATATTTCTACTAAGCTTGAAATACTTTAAATCAATAGTAAGTAGACAAAAATACTTATTTTTACAGGTTTCATTATTCAAAATCCCTCTGTATGTTTTATACTGAGGTAACTGGCCAGCCAGGAGAAAGAACCCGGAAAAAATGACTTTGAAAGCATTAAGGATACTTACAATTTCTTACAATAATGATTAATATAGAAGAAACACAGTAACGTTTAGTTATGAGACAATTTAGAAGTATTCAGAGAAAACATAAATGTTGTATTAACTTTGGCTTCATAAAAATTAGTGAAACAAAGTGTCCTCAGTAAACAAAAAGGAAAGTAATTGAAGATATTTTGGGAACTTTTGGAAGTACATGTAGGTACACTAGGAAAAAAAACAAAAAGGAAAATAATTGAAGATATTCTGGGAGCCTTTGGAAGTAGATACACTAGGAAAAAAGTTAACTGACTATAATCCTTACAGAGTAGAAAAATGACTATTTAATCAGCACAACAGTTTAAGGGTTCAGAAGGTATGCTTTTTATACAATTAAATTGTGAAACAATGTTTTTCCAAATGAGACTTTGAAATAAAACTTTTTTGAGCATCTGAAATAATTGAAGTTATTGATAACATTTCTGTTTTACCAATTAATTTGAAAAGTAAAACAACACCTTTGGACATATAGAAATAAATTTGCACATTTTTTTTTTGTAGGTCAGTGTTATAAACAACTGAAAGTGATTTGTATTCTTTGATCTATTTGAAGGATATAGCACTTATCCTACTGTTGACATAGTGAATGCCATCTTTTGATAAAATTTTTTTCTGTCAGAAGGATCAGAAATGCAATTATTAGTTAAACTCTGTTCTCCGATGAGCTGACTTCACATATTTTTTAAAGCCAATTTCTTTCTATGAATATTGACTGCTGGGCTAAGTGCAGTAATCTGTGCAGTTTTTTCTTGTGATGCATTTCATCTGTGTGAATACTGGAATTATAACTTTAAAACAGCATACCAGCAATATATGGGCTATGATTGTTGAGAAGTATTTCTCTGTTACTGAACTTTCAATTTCTGAGCTAAGCTATGGATAAATTTCATTTCTTTCAATCTTTTTATGACTGCAAAGAATAAAAACTAAAAGCATTCTTTTTAAATAAAAAATGGACAAGATGGTAGTTCATAATATTGGAAATGTGGCATCAATGTGTCTGGAAAACTCTAAATTCTACAAAGATGATGAAAAATTCTTAAAGAATTTTCTGTGACTACGTGTTGGGTTAAAGAATTTTTATAGTGATGATGATGGAGTGCCATGAAGTTAATACTTGCAATCCAGATTGCTGTAGTTTACACTTTTCTCTGTTTCAGACCTGGTGTGTGCTATTTGTACTCAGCACGCCACAGAGTGAATTATCCAAAGTCCATTGATTTTAATGTGTTTTGATTTGTAAACAAAATTATAGTAATTTCTTGCACATTTTTGAAAAATAATTGTATAAGGATTTATGTATCTGCTTCTGGATACAGTGTGTAAATAAAAATTTCATTCACAAGAAGATTTGTGGAGTGTTCTATAACTGAATTAAGTTCTAAAACAAAACAAAACAAAACAAAAAAAAACATCACTGAAAGACAATGTAGAATTTGGGCATGTTACGTATAAATTTAGATTTTGTTGGTTATAATTTAAACTGTTCCATATGTTCTTACCCCAGTTGATTGACTTTTCAAAACAAACTATTTCTATATACTAATTGTATTAATGCTTACTTTACAAAGCAAGAAGAAAATTTGCCAGAACACAATTTTTAAAAGATCAGCATATATAATGTAACTTTTTGATGTATTTTTTTCTTAAAAAACAAACAAACAAACAAACAACAAACAATATAGAATTCATAAAAGAAGTCTCCTTTTCCTCCAGATGTATGTCAAAGGTAATATTGCCTTCCTGTATGTTTTGAATTAGAATATAGTTCTTATTTAATTCCAAAATAAGAAATAATATATGGTGTTGATCTTCAAATATTCACTTGATGCTTTTTAGATTCTAAAATTTGATTCTTGGATTTTAAACAAGGAGTGACATTTTAAAATCCGAAAAATAATACAAATAAACCAGAAGATCAAGTGTTACGAATTTGTATGTTATGAAGGACTTTCACAGTTGCATATATGTTTTTAAAACAAACAAAAATACCGTGGTAGCAAGTAATTATTGTTCATATTGTCCACAGCTGGTAACGTACTTTTTGAGTATTCTGTCACTTAGGTCCTAAACCCAAATCCAGTAATAACCAGTTTTTGCCATCAAAGGGAAGACTGCCTTCTCCTTCTCCCTGCTCTTGGGGCCAGTGTTACAAGCTCAGTACAGTGTGTGATTGCTCCCTGTCAGGAAGATTGTTGGGATTCTGTTATTACTCCACACGTGCTCTTCTCTAATTTCATTCTATTGTTGACTCCAGTAAATTTGGCAAGAAAGAAACGCATTCTTAAATGTTTCACTGGTAAGTGCTGAAAGGTGAGTACGAGTTAATTTTACAGCTGCCTATCATGATCCAAGCAGGGCTGAAATGTTTATAGTTAATATGCCTGTAATGCTGTTTACTTCTGCTTCACGTTCAATCAGCTTAATAGCGGTAAGATTGAAAGAGAAATGCTAAAACACTGTGAGATGCAGAAAACTTGGTGTGTTATGTCTGATAATATAACAAGACCCAAAGGCAGAGCTTGGTGGGGCAGGAAGGTGAATTAAGTCATCCTCTGCAATCAAGAGAAGACCTCAGAGATTACAAAGCTGTAGAAAATGTGTAGAAATCCTTAATATTTAGGAAGTAATATTCCATTACTTCCCTCCAGCACACACAATTTGCTTGCAGTCTATGCCTCAGACCTATTCCTTTTTTCCCTTTTCAAACTCTAAGCTTCAGCTAAGCATTTCAGCATCTCTTGCTGCATTATTAAGCACATCTTTGGCTTTCTTGTCAAGGTAGTATCTAATACTTCTGGTGAAAGCAATGCAAAACAGAGATAGGATAATGTGGAAAGCAGAGAAAATAATTGTTTTGAGGTATGACTCAGAAGTAGGAAGTGTCCTGCCTCTGGAGTCTGGAGCCTGTGATCATCTTAGGCCAACTTGCCACATGCTGTCAGTAAACTACTGAAACTCAGACTGTGAGCTTTGAGGATAGCGCTTCTGAGGGCTCAGGGTAGGCAGAAACGGGCTTCAAAAATGAACTTAAAGGAGTGGTTTCTTGCTTAGAATGAGGGTGGAAAGAAAAATTAGACTTGTTTCAATTTCAGAATGTGAGAAGATGACTAAGCTTGGAAGAACGCAGGGGAAGGATGCATGTTGGTGTCTGCACCGATCCTGACACTGACGATTCAAGTGTATTTGGGCAGCTGTTACAGGGATGAGTTACCAGGCAGTGAAAGAGAGAGGACCTATAGCAAAGGTAGCCCAAGTTCTGTAAAACTAGGGAGCTACTGTGTCTGACATTATATGTGTGTTAGGTCTCCATCTGTTCTTCAAAACAAAATGCCTGTCTAATTCTCTAAATTCTCACTCACAGCACTCTTTAGTTCTAATTTACATGTCTCTCTGATGTGAAATAGTGTTCTTGGCTGAGTCTGCTGCCATAAGGGCAGGATTATTTTAGTTTGGTTGGTTGGTTCTTTTTGGTTTTGTTTTCCTAAAGCAACCCTTGTCAGCTATACTTATTTAAATAGGAAATCTTGCTTAAATAAATTAAACAATTCAAATATGTTTGTCCAGAATTCTTGATGAAATACCTAGGGCACCTTTAATCATGTGATCAACATCATATCTATCTAATGATACACGTGTTTTCAATGAAGAGAGAAAGGAAAACACCTGAATTTCTCAGATGATCGTTGGATGCTTCTGTGCTGGATCGTGGCTCATCAACCAAGGTGGTGGTATCTGGGCTTGAGATTTTTTGTGGTGCTGCTTGCCCACAGCCCACATTCGACACTCCAGCTTTACCTGAGCCCTCTGCCTCCACCATGTTTTGGAGCTTGTATGGATAGTCAATAAGTTTTTAATGTCTACTTCTACAACCCCAGATCTCCACTGAAAGCATACATTCTATTTTCTTTTAAATATCTTTCTTTCCTGGTTGTCTGCCCCATATTCCTCAGAGAAGAAAGTAAAAACAACTACAGAACCATTGTCAAATGAAACTGTTTTAAACAGTTTCATTTTTTCATTCAAGCTAGAAATAAAGTAATGGGAAGTTAGCTGAACTGGTTTGTGCCAGTAGTGTTTTGAATCAGTCTTACCATACTGAAACATCTAAAAGTCTGAATTTCAAGACTTCATTGTATCACATTTTCTAAGATACTTTTATAGTTCCATAAGTGCGGAGTAAAGCTTGGGAAATGTTTAGATTAGAAAACCAAAAGTCTGAAATACATTCCATTATTATTAATTAATTAATTAATTAATTTTGAATTTCTGACTGGAGGTGGTGGGGACACTAGCAAAACAAAAAATGAAAAGTGTTCCTTCTCAGGCTTGTAGCTTGCCAAACTGAAAACTTCTGTTCAGCTCTGTCAAACAGAGAAGATGTAATGGAAATTCTCTAATAGTAGACAGAAGCATGTAACTCATGTACTTCCTGAAAAAAAACACGAGCAATTGCTGCACAGGGTGGATTGCACTGCAGATGTGACAGGAGGGTGATTGTTGTGGGAGACTCTGTCCTTAGGGGAACAGAGGGCCCTATTTGTCGGCCTGACCCTACCCGTAGGGAAGTCTGCTGCCTCCCTGGGGCCAGGGTCAGGGACGTTGCCAAGAAAGTCAAGCGCCTGGTACGGCCCACTGACTACTACCCGCTACTGGTCTTTCAGGCTGGTAGCGATGAAGTAGCAAAGATAAGTCCGAAGGCGATCAAAAGAGACTTTAGGGATTTGGGGCGACAACTTAGAGGTTCAGGCGCGCAGGTTGTGTTTGCCTCTGTCCTTCCGATAGGGGGGATCGAAGCTGAAAGGTGTGCTGTTCGCATAAACTCGTGGCTTCGAGACTGGTGTGACCGGCAGAACTTTGGGTTCTTTGACCACGGGAAGGTCTATGCTACGCCGGGCCTGATGGCACCGAATGGGATGGGCCTCTCTCGGAGAGGGGTAAGGATCTTTGGTCAGGAGTTGGCAGGGCTGATAGATAGGGCTTTAAACTAGAGTCGAAGGGGGAAGGGGCTAAAACCAGGCACGCCGGTGAAGACCTAAGTACACTAGAATCAGAGGGGTTGTGTGCCAGTGAGGTCATTCGGTTAGATCCACAAGGTGCTGAGTGTAAGGAGACGCACCTGAAATGCTTCTACACGAACGCACGCAGTATGAGGAATAAAATGGATGAGCTAGAAGTCCTGGCCCAGTCCCGCAACTACGACATCATTGGCATAAGCGAAACCTGGTGGGATGAGTCCTGTGACTGGGGTGTTGCGATAGATGGTTACAGGCTCTTCAGGAGGGACAGGCAGGGTAGGCGAGGTGGTGGGGTGGCGATGTATGTGAAGCAGGGGCTGGGCTGTGTGGAACTCCAGGTCGGCGATGGCAAAGTTGAGAGCCTCTGGGTAAGGATCAAGGGACGAACGAATAAAGGGGATGTCGTTGTGGGAGTCTATTACAGACCGCCTGGCCAGGACGATAGCGCCGATAAATTATTCTTTACAGAACTAAGAGAGGCCTCGAGATTAACTCCCCTTGTCCTTATGGGGGACTTCAACTTGCCAGACGTTAACTGGGAGTGCCACACGGCTGACACGAATAAGTCCAGGAGGTTCATGAAGCACCTAGATGATAACTTCTTGGTGCAGGTGCTAATGGAGCCAACTAGGAAAGGCGCCCTCCTTGACCTGTTGCTGGAAAACAGAGAGGGTCTGGTGGGAGATGTGGTGATTGGTGGCCGCCTCGGTCATAGCGACCATGAAGTGGTTGAGTTCAAAATTTACGGTGACAGAAGGAAAAGTGCCACCAAAACCTCATCCCTAGATATGGGGAAGGCGGACTTCAGGCAGCTCGGGGAACTAGTCAGCAAGGTCCCCTGGGAAGCTGCTCTTGAAGGCCTTGATGTCCACCAGTGCTGGTCACTCTTTAAGCGATGCCTCCTAGAAGCACAAGAACAGGCAATTCCTAAATACCGCAAGTCAGGCAGGCGCGGCAGGAGGCCGGCGTGGCTGAACAGGAACATTCTTACGGAGATTAGGCGGAAACAGAGAGTGTTTCGCTACTGGAAGGAGGGCCGGGTGACATGGAAAGAATACAGGGATGCTGTTCGTGTTTGTAGGAAGAAAATTCGTGTGGCTAAAGCACACCTAGAGTTGAAGCTGGCTGTGTCTGTGAGAGAAAATAAAAAGGGTTTTTTTAGATATGTGAATGGAAAAAGGAGAACTAAAGAATACATAGGGCCGCTCCTTGATAGGGAAGGTCTTCTCACAGACGATGACATAGGCAAAGCAGAGACGCTTAACGCCTTCTTTGCCTCTGTCTTCAATGCCGATGATGGGCTTTGGGACCCAGGGTGCCCTGAGCTGGA